TGTGTGTGTGTGTGTGGTGATTATAAACTTGGCAGTAATACTACTGAATAGTTTTATTTTGTTTATTTCAGCCCAACTGAAAATAAATAACATGATTGTGGCTAACAACTTGCAGCGTTTTTGTGGAGTTTGATCTTTGGATTTTGTTACACACCTATAAAACTTACTGAAAATTTGATGTACTTCAAGGACTAAAATTGAGTATGATAATTGGAGAAAAGAAAGTTGCAGGATGAGATGCACTAGGGGCTTTAGTACTAGGATAGTTCTCTCTTGCCCTCATTTGTGATCACAGACAACTGGCATACACTAGAGGGAGTTTTTTTTTTTTTTTTTAGAGATTTATTTATTTATGCTTACTAAACCCGGGTACAGGCCAGAGGTGTTTCTGTTTGAAGACCATTTGGGAACTCTCCCTGGTGTCACAAAGGGTTAAAGTGCAGCACTATGATGCTATCTGCAGCAAGATCCCAATCCTGGGCTAGGAGGTGACCCACGTGGCACGGCAGACTTCTTCTGTCCCACCCAATGCTCCCCTCAGCAGTGGAGTTCAGTCAGTGTTGCCGGTTCTCCCCAATCCTTTACCCCCACACCTCTGGCCTGTATCCCAGCTCTTGTATGCATAGATAAATCTTTAAAAAAAAAGACCATTGGGAGAAGGAAGGAGAATTTCAGTATCTTAAGAATAAAAATATGACTTCATTTTACAGAGTAAATAGTGAACATTTGTGTATTTCCTTATCATTAAACAAAAAGTTCAGGAGAAGATGTTTGAAATCTCTTAGAATGTTTGGTAACTGGCTGGTAAAACATTTTCAAAATTCTAACTGCTTATTTTTAAAGAAATCTGATTTAGGTAATGCTTTACATTTTTGTTGCTGTGCTTATATAGGTGAAAAGAATGTCTTGCACTTAATTTCTGGGAAATGAGAATATTAAAGGTTAAATAATCAGTGAAATATGTGGTATAATGTGAGACATAATGAAACACACTGCTCTCAGGAGTTACTGTGAAGAGGCTCCATGTGTTTAATTTTCCCTTTTCTGTCTACTTCTTTATGTCTGTGGTTTCTTTGCCTGGTTCCTGTTGCTTTTCTTATGTAGCTGCTACTTGTGTCTGCTTTGTAGCAGAAGTTTTGTTCTGGAAAAACTAAAAGGCTTAGAAGAAAATTCTAATAGTAGTTATTGGTCACTTGCCATTGCCAGACAAAGTGGTAAGCATTGTGGAACACAAAGTTGATTAATGAATGTATTTTACTGTCACAACATCTAAAATTTAGTATAAGAGGTAATTATTGTATGAAAGCATGTTGGTTAAGTACTGTGGAAGCAAGAAGGAAATGGAGGAAGTTGAAAGGTACTTAGGCTGAGGTTGGTCCTGAGCCTGTGAGAGTTATAATGTCAAGAAAAAGATTTTTCAAGAACCAAAAGTACTGGAAAAAGAAATACAAAGCAGATTTATTATATTTTAAGTAGTTAACTTTTACAATTAATACATTTTAAAAATTATTTTCATTGACACTTTAGAATGTTTGGTGGCCTAAATTATTGGATTCTGTTCCAATCACTAACTTTATATTTCACACTTCACATACCTAGTTTGTTATCTTATTTTCCCACTTTAGTGATGCTAAAATTGGTCATTGGGTACAGGTGAGGTGAGTTGGCTTCATCTGCCAGTCACTTATGTCTTGCACTCATCACTTGAAGACCTCTAGCTCCTTCCCTGGGAGTTGAAAAATAGTGAATTTTGATTTTTAGTTTGTTCCCCAGGCATGTGGGAATTTTAGGAACATTATAAATGCACGAGCTTTTTTTTTTTAAATAACATAATAGTTTATTTTACCTCATTTTGTGCATTTTTCCATCTCAGTTGCAATCCCCTTGGGCTTCCCATCACCAAATCAGCCATGTGCCATCACCATATTCCAGTGCATTTCCCTCCTCCCACTGTTTTTGATCTCATTCCCCACTTCACCCCCATAAAATGTCTCTGGTATATAGCTGTTCATTATTATTTTGTCGCCTGGTCCGTTATCCTCCAGCTATGAGAGAAACTATTCAGTATTTTTCCTTTTCTTTCTGGCTTATTTCACTAAGCATGATCTTTTCCAGCTCCATCCATGTTGCTGCAAAAGGCATGTGTGGTTTTTTTTTTTTGGTTGTTGAATAATATTCCATTGTATACCACATCTTTTTAATCCAGTCATCCACTTTTGGGCATTTGGGTTGTTTCCATGTCTTTCCAATTGTAAATAAAGCAGCAGTAAACATGAGGGTGCAGGTATCTTTTTGAATCAGTGTTTTTGTTATGTCTTTTGGGTAAATACCTAGGAGTGGGATTGCTGGGTCATATGGAAACTCCATTTTTAGCAGTTTCAGGAATCTCCAGTTTTCCATAATGTTTGTACTAGTTTGCATTCCCACCAGCAGAAATGCTGAGCTTTTAAATGTTTAGTGTACTTCAACTTACTGTAAATATTTTAAAAATATTATATATTTACATCATTGTCATTTTTGGAAAATGCATTCTTTTCTCAGGGGTAGGCCTCATTGAAGCCCTGCAGTCATTTCATCTATGTGCCATCTCCATAGTTCCTTGCGCTCTTCCTGCCCTCACTTTGAGCCCTTTCTCTCCCTCTCCCCTGCAAATTGTCTCTGATTTATAGTTGTCTCGTTTTTTGTTTATTTTATCCTCTGTATTCCTCCTGTAAGTGAAACCACCTGGCATTTTTCTTTTCCCTTCTGACTTGTTTCACTG